GGCCGTAGTTTGGAGACTCTTGTTCTAGATAGTAAGTAATAAACTGCCCTGTACCAAATTTGTGTGTCCACACACATATATAAATACATTTAATTAAAATATAATTGATTGTGCTGCAAAAATCCTTTATTCGGGATCGTAATAGGTGGGTTTACACTAATACAGATGTTTCGATTGTTTCAGAAAAATAATCTCAGTTTTGGGGGGAGGAGGGCGGAACGAAATAAACTGGTGATTGGGTTTTTACTGCGTTGAAGTCAGTTTTGTAGCCTGCGTTCCTTATTTTGAAAAGTAGGCTAATGCGATATCCATGCTGTCTGTGTCTGTGAATTTCCCCTCCCCCTATTAACTTTTGAATGCCTGGACCAGTCTATATAAAACTTTTTTATTCTTATAATTTGGTGCTCGTTTGAAGCATATATGAGAAGAATTATTTGTATTATCGTATCTCTGCAGGACATTAGGTCATCACAGCTGTGGTTAAGAAGAGCCTTCTCTGCCGGGATATAACGGCATATAGTCCGTTGGAAGTGAACCGACGTTTCAGAGGACGATGTTGCCTCGGTGTTCAGTTTCGAAGAATAAGCCAAGCAAGAAACTAGCATTAAGCAGGCAGCAAGCAGAGTTCAGTGGTATTAACTTTTTCATTTTCTTATTGGTGGTTTCATTGTGTTTTGTGTACAGTATAAGTTGAATTTTGGACCATTGGAAGAAAATGGAATATGGAGGAAGAGGTATAACCATGAGCTATACAGACTGTTTAATGAACCAGACATTATTGGATTTATAAAGGTGAAAAGGCTTGAATGGGCTGCACACATAATACATGCCAGCAAGAATAGAACCATCAAGAAAATGCTTAATACTAAACCAGAAGGAAATAGGGAAGTGGGAAGACCAAGATTAAGATGGGAAGAATGTGTGTAGCAGGACATAAGATTTTTGGGTGTAAAGAACTGGAGGAATGTAGCATCGGATAGAGAAGAATGGCGAGCAACCCTGAGGAAGGCCAGGGCTCACAAAGGGCTGTCGTGCCAGTGATGATGATGATGATGATAAGTTGAATTTAATTAAAGACATTCAGATGTTTGGGAAACCGAAATTAAAGGCCGTGGGCATCCTTTGCGCTGACCACGTGACACCCTCTATCCGCTAAAGTTTGGTAGTAACTCCGCGAAACAAGCGGCGGTCGCTCGGTCGGTATAGTTCGCTTGCGGACTACAGGCTACGGAGTTGTTTTTTCTTGTTTGATATGTTTTGGGGCTGGATAATCTGTGGCACACAAATAGAACGTGCCAGTTATCAGAACACCCCTTCTTCTGATAAGCAGATGGTATTATAAATTATGCTGTGAAAGGAACTGCGTCGCTGGGATAATTTCGTAATGAAGAAACGTGAAGAAGTATCAACACCTAAACGTGCTCGTAGCGCTATTCAAACTCGTGACTTTCCATTGCCATTTGCTGACACTTCAAGAGTCTGCAGGAACTAATAAAGATAGCGCTTTTGAAGTATCGTAATCTCTCTCACTCACGGAGCTGAGCCCTTCTTGAGAAGTCGCCGGTTGTGCAGCTACTCAAGAACTTCCCAGGATTTTATGGAACCCGAAGGTTCATTACCGTGTTCATAAGAGCCCCGCAGTTGTCCCTATCCTGAGCCAGATCAATCCAATCCACACCATCCCATCCTTTCTCTCTAAGATCCATTTTAATATTGTCCGTCCACCTACGTTTTGGCCTTAATCTTGTAAGGAAATTATTGTGCTTTTATGGATCGTAAAGGTTCTTCATGTTCCGACACTCACCCAGGACCGTGTCCAGAACCAATTCTCTCTAGCCATCCATTTAGTATTGTCTTCCCATCTGCAAGTATATTGTACGTCTCTGAAGCTGGCCTTGCGAGATGTTTTTCAAACAGCATTACATTATTCGTTTCTAGTTCCTCCGGTGGGTACTGCGTGCCTTGTCCGTCCCACCGTTCTTGATTTAATCGTCCAAATATTAAGTATACAAATTATGAAACTCTTCCTTATGTAATTTTGCCTAGTCGTGTGTTTCTTCGGCTCTCCTTTGTTCAGATATTCACATCGTCACATTTCTCTGAAGTGCCCACAGAATGAGTGAGTTCTAGACCATAGTGCATATTAAGCGACGCTGATAAATTGAAATTTATATTTCAAAGGTGACAGTGAGACATGTAAAGACTGCGCCTGCGTCCGCGTCCATTGGAAAAGAAGTATACATTCCTATCTGGTGGGCGGAATGCGAGGAATGTTTCGATCAATACATAACCAAACTCATGAATACCCCACGATGTGTATGATGTCCTCTGTTACAGTACCTGGCCGGGTGGGAGAAGGTTCGTCTTTTCGTTTGTTACATAAATTTAACCCTGTCTTGCAGTAGACTTCGTACCACTTCGTGGTTATTGTACCCTTCTTGCTGGATTTGTCACAGTATTCTTACCATCATTGGGTTCCCTGCACTTGCCTTCAAGTACGAGGGAAAGTTTCTGAATTACTTGAGTTTGATACACGTATTCTGTGATTCATTTGTTTTACAGATCTTGATGTGCGTTAGTAGAAACATTTTCGAGAAGTGAAAAGCTTTCGTTGACTGGCGTTTTTGTCAATCCATGTAATTAACGTTCTCCAATGAAGTGGTATACGAGGTGCTGGAGAGAAATTTTCCCTTTGTACACGATAGTGTGCTAATTAATGGAGAAGCATTGTCTTGTAGTTGTCTGTGACGCTTGGTCGTGCGAATGATAAGTCTTGATGTTTTAACGGTGATAATAGATCAGATTGTCGTCTTCTGGGTTGTGACACCGTGTAGTTTTGTGAGCGAATAGCGATGTTTCGGAGGAGCATTCTGCGTCCATCTTCAAGAATGAAGTGTGTAGGTTCAGAAATAGCCTTTGTTGCATAAGGAAGTTACAAGGAGGGCTGCCGTGAGACCCAAGGAGAGCGCGCAAAGGAAAGGAACCCGATCCGAGCCAACGATATGTACAAAAAGCTACAGTTTTGAGGGGTACACAGGTTTTTGGTCAAGGTAGAAAGTGGAATAGCGAGAGAGAACAGGAGAAAAGTGGAATCTAGCAAAGGACAGAATCATCCATTTCAGGGGCCACCGTAAGTTTTTGTTGTCAGGTGGGAAATTTGAGCTTTTGAAAGGGAAGATAGCGTCCTTTTCCGGTCCTCCCGAAGACAACACTGGATTCAGAAACACTCCATTCTCTCTCACTATTCCACTTCGCGCCTTGACGATAGTATACTCCTTAAAAAGGGCTGTGCTTAGTCCGTTTCTGCCAATTGGATAGGACGAGGTTCCTCTCTGCCTCTTTACTTTGGGTCTTATGAGACCAACCATGTAATGTGCCCTTAACCAAGCCTATTCTGAACCTACATTCTTCAGCCATGAAGATGGAGGCATATGTTCCTCCGAAACGGCTTTGTCCGCCCACAGAACTGTATGGTGTCACAACCCACTAAGGACACATTCTTAAGAACAGCTTTCTGTTTTAGCTGTAACACCGTTATTCATGTCTTAGGGAGAGTAGGGCGTATTTGTAAAGCTGGCCATGGAAGTTGTATGTAGTGATAATGGTGCCCGTTCAGCTGTTTTATTTATGTGAATGGATGAAGAAAGGTAAAACCGTCCCATCGACAGGCCTTCGAGGCCCATAGGAATGTGAGACGTCGAGGCGTCAACATTTTCTAAACAGTCGGCTCACAGATGGCGGTGAGTTTGTCAGCCTTACGCGCCGGCCGCCCTTAACCCACCAGGAAGATTCCTGGTACTCATTTCTGTTAGAGGCTAAGTCGACCCCAGGGCCATAGTGCGACTGGAAGGATTAGGTGAATTGAAAAATCAAATGACCTCGTCGGAATTCGAAACCGCGACTTTCCGGCTTGTAGCGTAGTGCCTCTACCAACTACACTACTGTGTGCCCCTATGCGAATGAATATCATGAGTGAACTTGTTCTGGTTACATCACCAAACTGATCACAAGGCAGGGCAGCGGAGAATAACGCCAACACGAATAAGAGAGTCACTCAGTGCTGGTGTATATGAGGCAGTGTTGTGATCGCAAAAAGATATCGGTATCGAGTTTTTGACTGATTATGAAAAGTCTGTGTATCGATATGCGTCTTACAAGCGCCTGATCGCTGGATGGATTTTATTCATATTGGATAATCAAGAGTTTACCTATCTCTGTCGATGTCCATTAATCTGAACATTCCGTGGGCCCGGAAAGTACAGGAGGCATTCTCGGAAACAGTTCTAACGATTTTGATTCAATTTTAGTCATTTATGGAGACCATCTAAAATAAAACTATGTGGGTCGTATCCTAGGAATGGAACGGTACGCGCGCTAGGACCCAAACGCGAAATGTACGTTCTGTTGAGACCAGCCTCATCGGCCGGACCGATTTCACTGTTTTTCTGTATTCACTAACTAACAGTGGTCTATGTAGCGTCGTCAAGGTCAATCATATGTGAGAAAGTAAACGGAATTGTCTGTACCGAACATTTAAGCAGCAGGGTGTGGATTTGTCGTGTTGTTTTAAGCGCTCTCCTTAACTCTGAAATAGTGCCAGCTTCCCACAGCGCTCAAAAATGAATCTTAAATTCGTTTTGTAGCTCAGTTTTACGCAAGACTATCACCTTTTCTAAAAATAGAAGAAAAAATGTAATGCATTAAGAAAAGTATAACCCAAAATTGTCCAGGTTCTCACTGTTTCGTCCCTGGACACAAACATCACGCTCGCTGGCAGTCATGTGTGTACGTTGTGTACTTGGCTTCGTCTTTTACCTAAAAGGAAAATGGTCAACAGAATCCGAAACTGGCTTTTCCGGTTATTGTGTGTATGTATGTAAAGTATGCATACATCTGCTCTTATCTTCAAGCCTCGTAAACGCCTTCCTTTAGCGCCCGATGCCCAGGCACATCTGTATGAACAAATCAGTGTTTCATAAACTTTAATTTCTTAATTGCAGGTAATGGAGCTGTAGACTGCTAATACCATTTGAGCGTCCAACCCGCAACGGATCATGAAAATGGTGTTGTCACAACGGCAGCGGGAGGAGTTGTAAGTTAAATTTGACGTAAATTAAGCACGGTTTAATGGCCTTTTGTAGTCCAGAATATGACCCATCTATTTATTGAATACTTCAAGGAATAGCCATCTTATGACTCCACTGTGCCACGCTGAATTTAAAGACATGTTCCAAGTTGCAGGTATAATTGCGATAAGTAGAAATGTGAAGGAAACTTTAACTTACTGGAAGATGTAGGCCTATCAGTAATGAAACATTTTCGATTTTTCAGAAGAGATTGAGTTATGGAAAATTGGTAAATATTATGAATAGAGAAACTGGCGGCCCATGAAGAAAAGTCTGATCCGCGATTTAAAAAACTGTGTAATTCGTGGTGGTTACTTTTGCACAAGGTCTCATGGCCTTTAGTACATTGTTCTTGTTGGGCATGTGGTATGAAGAAAATTGTATTCCCGCATCAGTGTGGCTTCTCTATAAAATTTCTCATGCTGTTACAACCATTATATTCTGGAGGAAATTATGAGGAGATTGAACTTGGGTAACGCTTGCTACCATTCAGTCAAGAACCTTTTGTCTTCTCGTCTGCTGTCCAAAAACATAAAAATTAGAATATACAAAACTATAATTTTGCCTGTGGTTCTGTATGGGTGTGAAATTTAGTCCTGACATTAAGGGAGGAACATAGACTGTTTGAGAACAGGGTGTTGAGGAGAATATTTGGACCGAAGACAGATGAAGTGACAGGAGGTTGGAGAAAACTGCATAATGAGGAGCTTCATAACTTGTACTCTTCTCCAAGTATAATTAGAATTATCAAGTCGAGGATGAGGTGGCAGGGCGTGTAGCACAAATGGTGAAGAGGAGGAATGCACGTAGGATATTGGTGGGAAAGCGAGAAGGAATGAGACCACTGGGAAGACCAAGGCGTAGGTGGGTGAACAATATTAAAATGGATCTTAGAGAGATAGGATTGGATGATATGGATTGGATTGATCTGGATCAGGATAGGGACCAGAGGAGCGCTCTCGTGAACACGATAATGAACCTTTTGGTTCCATAAAATTCTGGGAAATTCTTGAGTAGCTGCAGAATTGGCGGCTTCTCCAGAAGGGCTCAGCTCCATGAGTAAGTGATAACTATTATAACGCGCGTTTAGGCTGTCATCTGAGTGTACTTTATTTTCTCTTGGTGTCGGAAGTTCTTAAATATTCTCGTCGTTCACGTTCACATTTTGTAATGCGCTTCCTCTTTTGTTGTCTGTCAGGCTTCCAAGTAATTCTTATATATCGTATAAAGGAAATTATATTCCAGCACTAATACTGTTTTGTAATTTTACATTAAAAAGGTAAAACTATCCATGTAACAGGCTTTAGAGGCCCATAGGGTTGTGAGACGTCGAGGCTTCAGCATTTTCTAGACAGTCGGCTCACAGATAGCTTTGGGATTGTCAGCTTTACGCACCGGCCCCCATTTATCCCCAGGAAGATTCCAGGTACTCATTTCTGTTAGATGGTGAGTCGACCCCACCACCATAGTGCGGCTGGAAGGATTAGGTCAATTGAAAAACTCCTGTAATTTCACATAGGCCTACATAAAATGGTGGTGTATTGTTAGGAGCAACTCCAAAGCGGCGCACAGCTTAAGTATGTTGAAACAAATAAGGTTTAAGAGAGACTCGGACACGGTAACTAATGTTTTTCATTATGCTGGGGAGGGGGCTAGAAACGATTTAATTGCAGGGACATGCTGTAAGGCGCAACTTCTTGTGCGCCAAATTGTTTGTGTGGTTCATTCTTCAACAGCGTGGTTATTTGCGCTTGTCTTCCATTAATAAATATAGAAAGTAGACTAAGAAGCTGCTGCTGATAAAATCTTTGAAGGAACCTTTGTTTTAAACAACCAAGAATTTTTATTTGGATGTCAGTTGCATTGCCAGAAAACGTGAGAAGAGAACTCACGAGGCATTGTTTATGCCACTGATGTCGGCGAGTAGTTGGGAATTTGTATGTACCGTGGTTACATACGCTTTGGCTGGAGCTTAATACTTGGTGAGTCATGTTTCGCTTCGTCATCAGCTTAGCCTAAGGAAGAATTACATGTTCTTTTTTTTTCATTGCTTTCATAAACATGTACGAAAGCTGGGATTTGTTACCCCTTTCAGTCATAAGATTATATCTCTGTCGGACCCACCTGAGTAGATGATCCCCCACCTTTTTACCCGAGGGCGGATACTGGTGTCTATTTCCCGAAATGTTGTGTACTGTACTCGTATACTAAGACGATGGGCCAAATGCAGTCGCCCTAAGGTAGGCCGCACACCGGCATGCGTCAAGACATGTAACAGCCAAGACACGATGTCTGCGACATTACGCAAAGAAAGGAGCACAGTTGAAACGAACGAGTTTATGAAAACCGCCGCACACCGGTGTGAGTCATGATGTTGACGTCAGCTTCATGCTGACCAATCACGAATGAAGCAAGACTGCGTCTTTTGTCTCATGTCTTGATGCTTGTCTTGACGCAGTTGGTGTGCGGCCGCCCAAACTTTAATATACCACTATCCGAACCGTGCATGCAAAAAAGTGTTAGATAGTTCAGGTGCTGAGGAGAATATTGAGACTTAAAAGTTAGAGCAAGAGACAAAAGGCTGTAAAACTGCATAACGAGAAGCTTCGTAATTTATACTTTTCGCCGAAAATTTTGTGTTGGGGCCATAAAATCAAGGAGTGTGAGATGGGTTGGACGTGCACCACGGGTGGAAAGACGGGAAATGGAAACATTTTGATGAGGAAACCGAAAGGGAAGAAGGTATGTGTAAGATCTAGGCGTAAGGCCGCGCCATAGCTCAAGCGGTTAGTCGCTGGCTTCCCACCGCGGCGGCCTGGGTTCGATCCCGGGTCTGGTCAAGTGGGATTTGTGGTGGACAACGTGGCGCTGGGGCAGGTTTTCTCCCCTGCCAATCTTCATTCCACCAATTGCTCCACAATCACCCTCACCTATCATCTAGGGCTGGTACAATAGGCCAGAAGTGGCCGCAGTACAAGGGACTTAGTCCCACCCCACTAGCAATAAAAAAGGATCTAGGCGTAAACATTTGGTACTGTATCATACAGAAGAAGTAGGATGTGAGGTTTGCAGGTGTCAGCTTGCTCAAGATAGTATCGTGTGGCAGACTTTTGTGATCACGGTGATGAACCGAGTTTTTTTTTGGCTGCTGTGCAGTTGTTCCATAACTCTGTAGAGGTGCTTAGTTCTCATTTCCCCCAATGCAGTCTTGAAGAGACAAGAACAGCAGACGCTTTCCGTGTAGCAGTTTGACAAATGCCTTATCGGGATTACAAGACTTAAAGCTGACGTGTGAGACCTGAAGACATGAAATGTTTACAGTGAACCATCTGTCGTAGTCTTGACGAAGTATTTAACGGTGGATTATAGACCGCCCGTCGTGGAGTCGGATATAACTTCCCGATGCAGCAAGTTGTTCGGATCTTGTGTCTGAGAAATGAAGTAGTCATCGCGTTCTTTCGCCCGCTTAGCCACACAGACGCACATTGAACTCTTTGAGGCATGCATTCTTCGAGTATCCTTTCAGTTGCAGCCTACTTCGGCGCATAAGGCATCTTTTAAAAATGGTCTCTCGTACAACACTTTCTATCTGAGAGTTACAGTTGACAGAAAGAGGACATCAAGATTGAAGCGGACGGTAGTGCTGTCCCGGGAAATAACAGTGCTCATGGTTGTCAGTAATGTAGCAACGTACTTTTATGTTTATAATGTAAGAATTGTGTTTTTGAAGTTATGTCACGTGTAATCGTTGGCATGTATTGCAAGCGATGGTATTTTAAACCCAGCGGAGAAAACAATGTGATGCTGAATACAGGCTGTATACAAGAAATAAATATTAAAAGAAAGCACCTCATACGTACCAAGTGGATCATTGTTGCGTTTCTCTCTGATGTATTTAATTTTCTTTCTTGACTTCGTTATATGTGATAGTACTTCCCAGTTTGTTTTTAAATCACTACATTCTCTGTGCAATATATTTCCACTAACCTTTATTTTGAGTGTCACTATATTACATGAAAATGGGCAGCTTTGCCTTTTCACGCGTAAAGTTGCAGTGTCTTAGGGACATAAGACCTGAAGCATACCTTCTTATTCAAAGATATCTGCCCCATTCAGAGACGCATACTGAGGACTTGCTCGTCCGCATGTGACACGATCCAAACTTCTGGACTGAATTCGGCCGAACTCGACGTGGCAGATATAAATTAAACGTTGTCTAGTGGTTTTGATGTTGGTTTGGTTAGCATTTTAAGGGTCGCTTCACTGAAGGTCCTAAATGAACTTGAAATTCGGCCTATATGTATATCTTTTTAGTCCCTTGAGTTAAATTGTTAAAAATATATGTGTGTTTTGGACGAGATAATACATTTTATTGAATCGTAATGATGTACACACTTACGTACTAACAAAGTGTATGTTTGATTAATTCGTTTTAAGCGCCACTTTATCAAAGGGCCGACGTGAGGTTTTACATATAGGTGTAAGCGCTTTGACGTATTTAATTTATGTATGTATACAGGGTGTCCCAGGAGGAATGGACCAAACTTCGGGAAGGTGTTCCTTATGTTAAAGTATGCCGATATAACCCAAAACACCTATGTCCAAAGTTGAACGGTTACGGAGATAATGGCCAGAGAAGTGTCAAACTTTGACCGGTGTTACACACTTGTTGATTACAAAATACATATTCAAACTGGCAGGAATATGTGGATTCTGTAATGTTAATAATGTACGTAACATCAAACTAACTTGTGAGTGACGGAAAGCCATAAAATTGAAGTACGAAATACTCGCTCGCCATGTCATAATTGTCCTTAGGGTTTCCAAGCACCATACATGACACATGACTGGCGAGCGATGACGTAATATGGCTGCGCTATAACCCGANTTGTACCCTTTGATCATGGTAAGGATACAGGTCTTCGTCATGTAAAGTTCGCCACACCTGCATACGTGATACGCCGAT